TTGGAATATTAATGCTTCAGAAGATTCATCTAGATGTTTAATGAATTTTTTCCAGTATCTAACTATGCAGTCAGTTAATGAATATTCTCTACTAAGTGTGAGTTTTGTATAATCGTTCCAATACTGAAGGTTATATACTAGCCTAATTTCCGATGTATAAACATGCTCAATTTTGCTCTTTGTTTTTCTGTAAAATAGAACCATGTGAACATTCACCTGATAAAGTGAGGGTAGGAGAACGCACAGAAAAGTCTCAGCTTTGGGTATTTCACAAAATACTTTTCGAAGGGCACAGTAAGTATTTTTTGCTTTTCTTCATCAATTCTCGATATGTTTATTCCATCCTAGTTTTGTCCTTAATCAACTCCTAAACATTTGAGATTAGATACATATTTGATTTCAATATTTTTATACTTTACATGAGGTCTTAATGGTGTAATTGTACTATGAATTAACATGATCTTTGTTTTATCTATATTTACACGCAATATATGATCGTCAGCAAATTTCTCAAGCATTTTCATAACATCCTTCGCTTGGTCTTCTAAATATGTAACAGAAATGAAAGCTTTATTTCTGATTTTTTAGGCTAGTAAAAAAGAGGAAAATCTTCTTGCAACATTCTAATGTGATCAAATGCTTCATATGTATTCAGACATCTTTGTGAAACTTTATTTCGGAATCATAGAATGTCTCAATTGAATCGATTATCACTCACTCTTCATATTTCTAAATAGAATTTCCTTATAATTTTGAATTTCACTTCTAATTATCTACAACCTTCCCCAAGAGGGTCTATATGCGCCCTTAACCTCAGAAAGGGTTGTAAGCGATAGCATAAGTTTTGTATACTTGACGGTATGTTTGCTTGCTAGTGTGAGCTGACAAGTACATATATTTTTGTGAGAGTTCAAAGAAGCTATTTAAATAAAGCCTTTCCTATCCCGGAAATTCAGTCAGTCACATAGTTTCACCATCTGGTTCTTGTCGCATTAAGTTGGTTGAGGATAAGTATCTAACTTTTGGAACTTGGGAGTTGGGATCCGCTGTAAATATCGGTGGTGTGAATGTGAGAAGTGTGCATAGTGTCATGACTATGTATCCGGAAAGGAGTGTGACTCTGTAGTTGATATGAGAGAATGTGGCTGTGCACTTGTAGGCGTTCACTGGAAGAAACGAGTAGGAACCAATTTTTCACATTCATTCGCACACACACATCATAAACTTCAATTGTAGCGCTTCAGTATCAAAGAAAAAATTTGATGTTGCACTTTCAGTAGCAGTACAAAACGCGAGTCGGATCATTAAGGAGATATGAATCAAAGAACAGAAGTAACTTAGTTAAAGTGTCACGATTTCGATAGTGCTTTTCATGAAATGAAACATGTTTCGAATAAAAAATGTACAGATGAATATGAGAAAATAAAATGGATGCTTTGCAAATCAATAATGTTCAATAATTTTGATAAGGACATCTAAACTTTAGAGACCTTTTATAAGAGAAAAATGGTCTATGCTCACAATTGTTGTCACGCTAGTAGAGAACGATTTATTTAGCCATCTCAACGGATCCCCACAAGTAACAACTTCAATATGGACACAAAAAAAGAGCTGTTGTACGTTTACCTGACTGCATCAACATGTGCACGTCTGCTTAAGAAAAAAAATGAAAACCGTTAGTGTTTTTTTCTTCGCTTTTGTTTATAGTTTTCTCCATTTTCTTTTGCTTACAAGTAAAATAGTTATCAATTCCTTTCAAACGATCATAGTTATTTCGTCCAAGTTATTCAATGAATAAAAGTAACACTACTGGTTCATCATCTGCGTAGCAATTCACACCATCATCATCTATTTGGCATAGTACACCAATATTATCTCGAAGAAGTTCAACAAAAACCAATTCGAGAACAGTTACTAGTTTAGCAGGTGTATCAGTAAGTCGAGGAGTTGTTTCAAAAACACGTGGTTCTCGTGGAGGTAATAGAACATCAAAATTAAAACAATCAAAAGGAAAAGAGAAAAGTGTTGCTAGCCATTCTAATAACGATACTGTTGATGAGATGGAAAATGATGGTGTTATTTATAATGTGGTTCAGCAACATGATAACGATGAACAACATAATTTATTGAATTCATCTAATGCAAGTGCTGATACAATTATTGATCATATTTCCAACAAAAACGAAAATATTGAAAACAAAAACCTGTTGAATATTTTATATTTATAAATGAAAGTGGTAAATACAAATGCTCGATTTGCTCACAGGTAAAAAGTTCTCTCTGACTCCTTATATCAAAGCCCTGTAAGTCACCTATAGAATATCTAGTTTATTGTTTTATTTAGGAATTACAAAGCCATTCAATATTCAGATACAAATCTACGAAACCATCTAGGTTTTAAGCATGGAATGTATCAATACTTATTTCTATCTCAGTTGCAACAAAGAAATAGTAAAAAATTTACATCAACAATTGCATTATTAGACAAACGACGTTTTGATGCGGCAGCAATTGAATTCATCGTCGATGATGGCCATGCTTTGGGAATTTTTCGACGTTCTGGTATGCAAAAATTTCTAGCAACAATTATTCCAGGTTATGACGGTCCATCTAGAAAGACAGTGCGCAAACATCTGGACAAATTATATCAACATCATCGTACTTCATTACGAGACTCAATGAAAAAAATTCCATTTATTGCATTAACTATCGATTTATGGTTGAATTCACGTCGTACGCACTTCTTAGCCATTGCAGCTCATTACTATGATGAACGTATGAAACATTCATCAACAGTCATCTCCTTTCGTCGTTTTCATGGTCGTCATTTGGCTTACCATTTGAATTCATTTATTATTAAAGAAATTGAAAAATTAAATATTCAAACAAAAATTGTAGCTGTTACGACCGACAGTGGTAGTGATATTAAAGGTGCAACATCATCAAATCAATTGGGAACATGGTATTCATGTGATACACATAATATTAATTAATTGGTGTCATCAAGTTTGTGCTTATGGAAAATTTCAAAATCAAAAAAGAAATGTACTTGATTATATTTTGTTGTTGACTTGTGTGTGACTACTCATGTAAAACTATTTGACAAGAAACTTAATGACAATCGATTGTGTTGTCTGTAAAATCTGATCAAAAAGTTATAATTTTAATCCAATTAAAATTATCGCTTTCAGCTCCAAATGCAAATTCCTAGGATTGGTCCGATTTCTCTAAACTAACTTTAATCTATTGAGATTTATTGTTTGCTTTGTAATGTATTAACCATTTTTAAGTGATTCAAGACAGTATGAATAAACTTTTGAAAACCCAGAGAATTTCTCATTTGTGGCTGAAAATATCGATTTGGGTAGAATTTCTTGTCGAACACTTTTCCATGGAATAGAAGTTAAGTACTTGCTTTCTATCACATTCAAGAGAAAAAGAAATTTATCTTGAAGTTTTCCTTAAGAGGCATTGCACGTAAGCCACGACCATTTCCTGACAACCTTGCTCAATCGATCTCACCGATTTGGCTGATATTTTCACAGTGGGTAGGCCTAACATATTTAGGAAGAAACCCAAAATTTCAGCTCAAATGGATAAGCCAGTCTGGAGATATAGTGGACGCAACTATTGGGGGTAGGTCATTTTTAGTGCATTTTGTAGTGCAATACTTTTCAGTCGATTTGCATTTTCTCAACAAGAATAAGAGCTATAACAGAGATTTTTTTGTCATAGATACTATCGATTATGGGCTATCTTTTGATGGGATTGAAAATATCTTTTCATTGGATTTTTTTCGATCGGCATTCTATACCATTTTCAGAAAGTGTTTCTACATATGTATAAGGACTTAGTCATATCAGTGAGGTAGAATAGTTTGAAAATAGTCTCATTTGAAAGAGCACACCAAACTGCATCGAATAGCGTTTTCAAAAGTTTGTAGAAATGAACTTTGGTAGCAAAAATTTTCTGAACAAGACTATGAAGACCAAATTTGTGCCCCGGCTCTCCCTATGAAGATTGACGATTTATTTTCAAATATTCGATTTAACTGTTTCAAATGAAAGCCCATATCAAGAAACCTCTAAATCCAAAATTTCAGTTCATTTGAGCATGTCGGTGAAAAATGGTGAAGGAGTCACTTTTTTAAATTTTATAGGGTAATATATATAGTTCGTCTAATCTTTCTGATAGTCGTATTTCAGTTAAAGTGCAGCCAAAAGATCTGAAATTTTCACCATAAACTATTCTTATTGAGTCCTTAATATACACAAAGTTTCAGGCCAAAATTCAAATTTTCATTTTTTTC